GCTGTTTCAACATAGCACATCGACTGAGGTTCACTAAGGAGAGAGAGAGAGAGAAAGCCAAGTTTAGTAAGGTCCTCTCCACAAACTTACAGCTCATAAAATCTATCTCTTCTAGTAGAGACGGGGTCTCGCTCTTGCTCAGGCGGGTCTCAAACTCCTGACCTTGAGCAATCCTTCCACCTTGGCCTCCCAGAGTGCTAGGATTACAGGCGTGAGCCACCGCGCCCGGCCTATGTAGCAAAAATTTTTTTAAGTGTCGAAATGCTTAAAATTTTTATTGTTCATTCTGGAATTAAAATATATGGTAAGAATAGCTTCTTTATTTAAGGCATGAAAATTTTTGCATCCAGTAGACCACTCTCAAGAATTAGGCTCTCCATTACAACAATGATGTAAACTGAGGTACGTGGAGCCTGTCCTCTGTGTTCATCCACACTAGAGTTGGGGTCCTTCCCACCCAGTCAGCCTCGCCGGGATGTTCCCTCTCTGCAGAATCACAGGCAGAGAGCGCAGGAAGATGCTAATGAAGGAGTGACACCCTTCATCACCAAGAGCTTGATGAAGGCCAATTCTCCTTGCTCTCTTTATGCATGTCTTCCCCCATCATAAAAGGCAAATTCCTCCCGTTCAGGTTAAGTCATGACCTTTTGTGGCTGAACATTTCTTTTTTCTTTGTCTAGGAAAAGACAGGTAGGACCATATGTGGAATGGGGGCCTCCATAACAACACATGTCATAAAGGGTGACTTTACCTGCCGTATTTTAAGGTTCGTCTCCCCATCTAGATTAGCTGTTTCAACATAGCACATCGACTGAGGTTCACTAAGGAGAGAGAGAGAGAGAAAGCCAAGTTTAGTAAGGTCCTCTCCACAAACTTACAGCTCATAAAATCTCTGTTATGATAGGCCCTTCAAAATAAATTGTTACAAACAATTGTAATTGATGGTAATAGTAATTGATAGGAAAGGAAGACGCAGGCTGGTCTCCAGGGCTCAACGCGGACAGAGGCATCTGCCCAGCTGACCTGCCCTCACATGCCCCCCACAGCTGCAGGCCGGAAGCAGCCAGAAAGGACTGCAGAGCGGGAAGAGGGGCGTGCTACCGAAAAGGCCCGCATCAGCACTGTCAGCACAAACATGCATCTTTTGAAGAAAATCACAGGCAGAGGAATTGAAGGATCAAGGCATGGGCTTGGCGAGCCTTTGCTACCCTGCATTTTTTACTATCTCAAAAGGAAACTTTCAATCAAAACACCTAATTTTAAGGACGGAAGCTCAAAGAGTAAAAACAAGCATAGCAGACACTATACATCTATTTCTAGTCTTCGGGTTTAGGTTAACGAACGTATTAGCAGTTAAGAGAACTGACTCTGCAACCCACTAGCTAAGGGAAAATCCCCTGGAGCTACATTTTTGGGCTACGTGGCCTTGGCAGGTTGTTTAATCTCTTTGTGTCTTGGTCTTCCCTCGTGTAAAGGAAGGGTGTTGAGGGTTATCGGGAAGATTAAATGGGATAACGTGCTCGGCAGCTGCTCAGCGCAAAGTGCGCGCCCAGACACTAGGCAAGAACATCCTGGACACACGGTGTTTCCGTTCAGACAGACAATCCCATGCCAAAACCGGGATTTCTGAGGGTCACAGCCAAGACTCACAGCCCAAACTATTAAGGGATCAATATTTTAATATTTGTAAGAGCTTTTCTGTCGTCAATCAGTAAGGGCAAACTCGAATCCTGCCTCCCTCCCCTCCATAGGCTCGGGGTCCTATTTTTAAGTCTTTGATCTCGAGCAGGAAATTTCAAGCTAAGGCTTAAAAATCTAATGAGTGATCAAATCCAATACAAAAAACACCGTCTACAATCAAAGAAAATGCAAACAGCACAAGAATCATGATTCACAACAGCATATAGATATAGGAAGTTACAGGCTTCGAGTCATATAATTTAATCTTGAATCCCAGAAGAGAAGTTCATTCTTACCCTCACTTTGGCTTCCTTTCCTCGCTATATATATTCTTTTATGCATCAAGCAAGGGAAAGCCAAGGGCTGCGTTGTCCGTTACATACACCACTGAGTGACAATATACCTTTCTAGAATAAAACTACCTAGGGAACACGGCAAGGATATTTGTGCAGAGAGGGGGCAAAATGTGGATGAATGAAGAGCAAACACCATCTGCAGGTCACGTCCATGCTGGGCAAACGCCCGTGGTTCTACTGTGGGGCGTCACTGGGTTCTGCAGTAGGGACTGCTGCCTGGGCCCATCAGGAGAAACCGGTTCTGAAGTCTCAGATGTGAAGGGACCACTCCCCCGCTCTTGAATCAGTCCTCCTGTAAACGAGCATGACCCCAGAATGGCTGGGAGATCACATGGGGTCCTCACAGGCAAGAGTTCAGAAAAAGCAGAAGGAATGAACGGGGAGAAAGAAACCCCGGGTGGAGCCAGGAGAAGGCACACGGCGCGTGGACGCAAGAGAGGGACGGAGAGAGAAGGCTGGCAGGAGGGAGAGGTGCAGGCGCCGCTGAACGCCTTGCTGTTCCTAACGTCGGTTTCAAAGCCCGCGCCCACTAGCACACCTGACCTGGAGGAGAGCAGGACCACGTCTGCGGGAAGATACTGCCCATTGACGACCTTCACAATGTCTCCCACCGCCACCTGGAGAGCCGGGCGAGGACAGAGGAGCGGGAAAGAAAAGAAAAAGGTGCTTAAATATTTGCAGAAAAAAATCACTCTACTAAGCCATGACGTTTAACATAAAGAAGCCCAAATCATTCTCCTTGACAAGAACAAAAGGAAAATGCTTCCTTGCAGGCAACTGGTAATATTGCCTTTTTGCAATGATGCTTAATAAAAAAAGAAAAAAGGAAAGGGAGAGGGAGAAAAGCGATGAGTCGACACAACTACTCGGATCTCATTTTATGACTGCCATCCGCCCATTTACAAACACGCGGACGTCTCCGTAGCCGTGCTCGTAGGGCAGAGTGGTACACAGGCACCTCCAGAGCCCGCCTGAACATCTGGGCTCCGAGCCCCTGCTGTGTAGCTAAGCAAAGGCTATGCAAACTCTGTGTGCCTCAGTTTTCTCATCTATAAAATGAGGATAACATCACGTGTTTCATGGGGTTGCTGTGAGGATCAACTAGGTTATTTAGCACACGTACATTTTTCTGTTTTACAAATGGGGAAACTGAAGCTCAAAACAAAACAACCTGATCAAAGCCATACAGTCAGTGAGTGTCAGAACCAGTATTCTAAACTGGGCCATCCGACAGGAAGGCCAGTGCTCTGATTAAAAGGCAATACTACATCCATTCATGCGCCGTGCACCTAAAAGGTCTCCCGGAAATACACCACATAAAGCAGAGGAGACTTGTGCAGTCTCGAGAAATTGTCAGAAAGAGAGGCATGGCCAAAGTCAGAGACAACGTTGGGAAGCAGACTCTACCACTCACAATCAAGGACACTAGAATTCTCTGATGACACAAAAAGAAAGACCATTCCTACCTAGAGCAGTACTAGTTGCAAAACTCAAAATGGGCACTTCTGCTTTCTGTTTTCCTACTGAACCCTAAGCTATTCCCTTAGAAATCAAGAAGTTCAAATGATATCACACCTGTGACAAACTACTGGATCTTACAAGGGAGCAGGTGCCCGTGTTAATTTTCTGTCGGGAGAGAGGAGAGTTTACCGAGGGGTGTCCTACGTGTGCTCCAAATTGCTTATCGACGTGTTCGGGGGAAAATGCTCAGAGCTGTTTATAACAACCGCCAGCACAAAAGCAAAGGATGCTTATGCAAATGGAAAGTGTTTTTTAAAAGTAAAAATATTTTACAGGAATAGTTTAATTACATAAAAATAAAATAAGAAGAAGCAATTGGGGAGGGAAACCCACTAGAAAGGAAAATTAGTCATGTTTTCAAAAGAAGAAAAGCAGTGGGTTTTTTTAATTCAAAGTGGGAGGACAAGGGAAATCATGGCTTTCTCCCATCTTCACTTTCTAAATAAAGGAGCATTCATATCTCAGCAACCAAGCACTAAGAAACTTCGTGTACCGTGAGAAACTACTTACTTGGGATTGTTTGAAAATGGCCTTCTACTTGATGTGCTTACGTGTGACTGTCTTTGCGTGTGCAATACTGTCTAAAAGAGTCAGTACAGTGGCAAAGCACCCACCCCAGATCCCTGCATCCACTGTAGCCCCAGAAGGTTCCTCACGCATCTTAGTTCTGAAGCAGCAGCAAAAAGATCCTCTTAAAGTCCATGGAAGCTGTTGAGATCCGCCCGAGCGCTGCCTCTCAGTGTTCACCTACAACCCAGGCGATGGCGGACTTGAGCCTCGGCAGGCATCTCAGATTAGATCATCAATGCTTTGCATAACGAGAGCCAGCTCCCCTTGCTGACATCTCTGGCACCTGCCCTCTCCCATATTCCCATCCTCACACTGAACTGCTCACAGCTCTGCAGCCGCGCCTCTGAAACTGGTAACCTCCCATTCGGCGTTGCAGGGAGCTGCTCGGTGGCATCTCTGGAGGGAAGCCTCCCCTGACCTGAGCCAGGGGTCTAGACTGCCGGCCCCTCCCAGGCACTCCCAGTGCACAGACGTGCACGCCCCGTGGGGCTCGGCAGCTGCACTGTGCTATATAGTTAGCGCCTGTCTCCTCCAGGACTCTAGTGGCTCCTGAGTATGCTGCCGACACCAGTGGCATCAGCTGCACCTGGGGACTTCTGAAAAATGCATATTCTAGGGCCCCGCCCCAGATGCAGAGAGTAAGAAAGTCTGGGAGTGGGGCCCAGCATCTGGGTTTTACTAGCCCCCCGGGTGACGGGGGTGCCAGCGGAAGCTGGAGACCGGCTGCAGGACACGACTCCGCAAGGGCAGGGGCCCTGCCTCACTCCTCCCACGCCGACACAGTCTCCAGCACGTGCCGAGAGCTCCATTTCAGTAAATAAACTAAATGCATTTTAAGTTGAAATAAAAATGCAAGTGGCAAAGCACTTAACAGGTGTTTCTCTGTTGTCGCGTTTCTCCCAGATGTGTGTGGGAAACAGTCATGAGCTCTAGGAGTCGGCAAGGCCGTCAGCTCCTGGACCCGGAAGTCAGAGACCATCACCCCATTTCCTGCTGCTTCAGACAGAGCCAGGCACACGGAGTCCGAATCACCCTTCACTCTGGCCAGTATGATGCCTTTCTGGGGCTGGGGAGGAAGCCTAGAGAAACCCGAGAGGAATCCTAGAGAATTAGAGGGGTAAATCCCAGTGCTAGGGAACCCATGAATCCCTTTGGCATTGGGAGCATTTCTCCCCCTGTGATGCCAAGAGTTCCCAACCTCTTGGCCAAGAACCACCACACTTCTAAATGAGACTGAGGTCCGTGAAGGTCTGCAGTTCAGGACTTCTAGACCGGTACGAAGGTTAAGGCGTTATTGCAAAGCACTATTTTAATGGTGAGTGGTTCTCCTAAAGGAAAGCAAAATAAAAGAAAAACTGAAGCAAATGCCGCAGTTATATCACAGGCATTTTTCAGACATAAAAGGCTGTAAAGAGGTATTTAAAAACATTGTTTAGCTAAATGTTTAGCAAGAAAAACTATTTTAAGTCATCCCTCTGAATAGTTGTTTTCTTCTGAAATCACGTTAATCAGCTTTGAATGCCGGACTAATGAGAGTCATCCTCCCAAACATCTTGTGTCTATTAAGAAGGTCCAGCTAAAACAGACTCACTTAAAAAGCTAATTTTATCAGATATAAAATACCCAGATGGCATGGCAGATTTCTCCTACATTTTCTATTCCTCTCTATAAACAACCAAAAAACCCCACAGCATTGTTGAGCTCTCCGAACCTCAGACTTGCAGGGCTTTGGAGGCAAAGCCTTCCTTGGTGTTGTTAAGAGGAGCAAGTACCATATGGGTCGTGTTCTAGCAGCCCGAGATGATCCGGAATCCCTATACCACAACGCTGTATGGAACGGTCCTTCTACCAAGAATGTTAGAAGTGAGAGTCTCAACCGTTGAAAAGAAAAACAAACTAACTTAGGTTAAGAGGACAAGAGAAGACCAGGGAAAATGTTTCCTGAATTGGATGTAGAAACCAGAAGATACTTTGAGATTTCAGAAATATCAATCAAAAGCAACAATTCACAGTTGCTTTTGATTGTTCAACTAGTTCACAGCTTGAACTGTCACATTGGGCACATTCTAGAAGGGGCAGGGGACAGAGTAAACATGCATCGGTTCTAAGCAGACCACTTGGGAAAACCCCACAACGTAAGAGTTACGTAAAATGGAGGTAGATCTATGTCTTAGCACAAATTTTATATTGCAATTAATACCATCAATTCATTACAAGTCTTTAAACCATTACTTTCTGGGATATCCGTAAAATTAATATTTACCTCTTTCCACATAATGGTATGCCACATACCATTTCTTAACACTGGAAAAGAAAAAAAATAGCATATTGGTTAATACTGGTGATAAATTAGAATCAGCTTCCTACAGTCTAAAAGGTTCCTTTTAAAATCCCATATATTAATTCTAGTATCCCATGTTCTTAGACATAAAGGTATAACACCAACACTCCCCAAAGTGGAGCCCCAATCTACGTACCTCTGTAACCTACATACGTTAGTGTATACACTTAAATGTTTATGTATGTATGTAAGTGAAATCTATTCAGCCCAGAAGAAAAACAAAAGCCTGCCATCAAACAATTAAAAAAAAGGAAAGATGATGTTGTAGAAATCAAAACAATAAAAAGTAGAAAGAGAAAAAGTAGGGAGAGATTATAAATTAAGGCTATGAAGAATGCTTGGACTTTTTATGAACATAAAAACTGTCTAGTTCCTAAAAATTACAACCTTCTCTAAAATTCTAAAACATATAAATCCTGTTCAAATCTTAAGCATCAGCACCAAAATCTTGTTCATTTGTTATTTTACTATTCCTTTAAAGTGTTTTACAGATCATTTTCCCAATTTATCTCAATACCATTAACTACTTACTTAATTCCTTAAATGCAGATCTTATCGTTAAGTTTTACGGTGGAAAGAGGGATTCAGCCTGGTATCTTACCTATTGTTTTCTTTTTGTTAACCGCATTATCTGCCTTATGTCGCTTCTGTTACAGAAAGAAGAAGAAAAAAAAAAAACAGTTCTTACACACAAAAGTTCCAAATGAATAATTGAAACAGCAAAGAATGAGATCGGGACTAAAAAGGGACAAGGAAACTAACCGCCAGCGATGTTTATGCTGTAAAATTCAGCTGGCAGTTTTATGATCTATTGTCACTCGCTAAATTGAGATGTATCTACTGTGGTTTCAGTTACTACACTTTGGTTCTAACAATTAACAAGCACTTTGAAATATGAAACTTCTCACTCCTTGTTTTGGATCAGACTAAAATAATTATTCGGTATGATAAACCCAACAACAAACACCCGATTTCATTTGGCCGATGAAGTAACTTTGCTTCTATGTGCACAAGTTACATTTCCCTTATCCTAAATGCCTGGGACCAGAAGTGTTTCGAATTTCAGATTGTTCTAGATTTTGCAATATTTGTATATACATAATGAGCTATCTCAGAGGTAGGACCGGAGTCGAAACATGAAATTTATTCATTTATATTGCATATACACCTCATATACATAACCTGAAGGTAATTTTAGGAAACAGTTACAATAATTTTGTACACCCATCACACGAGGTCAGGAATTTTCCACTTGTTGTGTCACGTCAGCGCTCAAAAAGTTTTGAATTTTGGAGCATTTCGGATTTCAAGGTTTTGGATTAGAATGTTCAACCTGTATGACATTTATTCATTTACCTGTTCCCAGAAAGATGTATATATGAGTGTGAGGGTGAGCGTATGGGTGGGGAGGGGGTAGGAGGGAGGAGAGCAAATGCAGAGACAGAGAGACAGAGGCCACATAGATATAGAGAGAGAGAAGAGGGATATGGTTGTAGCCAGTGAACCCAGAGATACCCTGGCACGCAAGTATGCGTGAGAAGGAGAAGATTCTCATAGAACTACCTCAGGCATAGCAAACACAACGCTGCTCTCCTAGACAGTATTACAGGGTGTCCCACAAGTCACCATACACAGGAGAAATGAGAAATTATAGCTAAATGTATCTTTACTTACAAAATATTCATTACAAATTTTTTCCTTTGTATGGAGACTTTTGGGACACCCTGTCTAATGCTTCAGTAGCTACCCAGGTTAGCAAGCTCTAACGTGGGCTATAAGGAACACCAGTGATAAAAATTAAAGGGGGTCAAGAGACCAAACATTCAAAAACGAAGTGTGTGAACTGCTTCAGTATCACCATACAGGTATTTAGGACACTCTGAGTACACATTCCCTCCCAAAAAATACCATCATGGGCCTAGAGGGGCTTATTAAGCCATAGCTATAGCTCAATTCCCTCCCTTAAGCATGGCATCCAAGGCAAAACATGAGTTATAAGGTATTTTCCATAAATGTTTTTTATCATCCGAAAGCGAAAACTTACAAAATCTTCTACGATTTCTTTGATGCCTGCGATTGTTAAAATAATGATCAATGGCACCAGCGTGGTGTATCTTCCTGTTGGAGATACGTCTGGGATTTGCTGTAAGAAACCACAAGAGGGAAGCCGGCGTGTTAAAATTCTCTCCACTGAAATTGTTAGAATTGTAGCTCACGGCTCACTCTTTTGCCGTTCTGTTCTATGTCTGTTACAGAAAAATAACTACCTCATTTTAAAAACTAGCTATGTGTTCTATATATTTTAAAAATTTTTATCCAACATTGGCTATGTGTCTAGAACAGAAATCAACTTAAAAGTACAACCCTCGGGCCATTTTTCAATGCCTCTTTTGGTCACTGCAATTTTCCTTAAGGTAATATCAAAAACCTCCCTGTATACAAGTCGTGTTTGTTCCCTCTATCAGACAATGACCGGATGAAGGAAACAGACTATATTCAGGTACCGTAACACTTTGCAATTAAAGAACCTTTTAGCAAAATCTCATTTTGCATGCAATCGAGGATGCAAATTTTAAGCAACTTCTTTAAAAAACATTACCTGTAATAAGGCAATGAAGAGGAAGAAGGCATTAGCAGCTCTTCTAATCTGCTCATACAAGAATCGAGGTAGAAATGTCAACACGCTGTACTTGGCCGTACTGTAAGTGCAAAGAAAAACACTACTATCAGTTTATAGATACACAAGCTAAAACAAAGAACAAAAGCTTCAAAAGCTTTACAAATGGCTTTAAAAACAAAATGTTTCAGAGCCCAGGACAATGAAATTGCGGAGCTGATTTCTCCCACAGTGTCTCCCCGGCTACCCTCGACAGGTGTTCCATGCCCCAACCACACCCAGGTAAATCCACGCCATCCACACGCCCTTTATTTGGCCACCTTTGCCCACACAGCTGCTTCCACTGGGGACATCTTCTCCCTTCCAGCCTACCCTGTCCCTCCATGACTGAGCTGTCCTCACCAGCCCACCCTCACAGCCGATCTTACGTCTTCCATTCAGTTTGGTCAAATTGATAATGACTCTTCTTCCCCCAAGGCCACAGTACAGTGTCTTCCCCTACACGATACAGGGTCTGCTTTGCTTCATGTTCTATCTACTGCTCTATCCTCAGAACAGATTATGGGAACGGCGGCAAGAATGTTGACTTCAGCTCCATTACGTTCCTAGCATGCAGCACGTAGCAGACAGTCCACGGACAATGAAACGGCCCGAAGGCAACACGAACCACGGTCCTTTGGCCGCTCACAGGTTTACCCAAGTTCGCGCCGTGAGCATACCTACACAATTCCCAGCTCACCCTCGGAAGGCCTCGCTATCGCTCAGGGCCTGTTCTTACTTGACATGTATTCTTGCAAGATTATCTGGCAGGTTTTGAACACACAACAAATCAGAGCCACCAAAACAGAGGGGGCGAAGGGCTCCGGGGACAGAACGCAGCAGAGGCAGGGATGCTGCCGTAGGACCTGACAGCAACGAGACCTGGAATGACGGAATGAAACCGAAGCTGCTCAAAACTGTAGCAGCCTGCGGTCATCTGATGGAAAGAGAAGTAGCCCTGTGTGTCATTTACTGCCACCGCCCCACGGAAAACCGTTCCCTGGTACAACTGCCTGGCATTTCACAAAACGCGGTGATCAGAGCAGTCCTTAAAGACAAAATCATTTTTAGCCTTCTTCTGCCTGAGGTGCTAAAGATCATGTATGCTAAATTATGTGAAAACCACTTTTAAAACGGTTCAAACTTGGCCGGGCATGGTGGCTCACGCCTGTAATCCTAGCACTCTGGGAGGCCTAGGCGGGCGGATCACTCGAGGTCAGGAGTTCAAAAACCAGCTTGAGCAAGAGTGAGACCCTATCTCTATTAAAAATAGAAAGAAATTAATTGGCCAACTAATATATATAGAAAAAATTAGCGGGGCATGGTGGTGCATGCCTGTAGTCCCAGCCACTCGGGAGGCTGAGGCAGAAGGATCGCCTGAGCCCAGGAGTTTGAGGTTGCTGTGAGCTAGGCTGACACCAGGGCACTCACTCTAGCCTGGGCAACAAAGTGAGACTCTGTCTCAAAAAAAAAACAGTTCAAACTTAAAGAATGTAACACTTGAAGGAATATCCCTGAATTAGCTAGAAAATTCGCTTACACGGAGCTCCTCCTCATCTGTGTGGCCCTATGGGGTAACAGGATGTCACTGTAAAATTCAGCCAGGCAGGATAAACTAGCTGACATTCTTAAGCACATTAAAGAGTAGGGAAAACTGCCAGGCGTGGAGGCTCACGCCTGTGATCCTAGCACTCTGGGAGGCTGAGGCGGGCAGATTGCTCAAGGTCAGGAGTTTGAAACCAGCCTGAGCAAGAGTGAGACCACGTCTCTACCATAAAAAACAATAGAAAGAAATTAATTGACCAATTAATATATATATAAAAAAAGAATAGGGAAAACTGTCATGCTTGTATACATGACAGCTTGTGGAACAAGTTTTCTTCACTACAGCTTAGAGAACAAAGTCAAATAGAACAGCACGCATTCCTTTACGGCGATCCTGACCATTCAAACAAAGTGACCAGCATTTACTAGCAAAGGAAGCATGAGGCTCACACACTCTAAGATAAGACGGCAGGAAGTGTCTTGCAGGATAGCATGACCATGACATTGGAAGCTGAGATTTCATCTGTATAAAAGCCAGACACACACACACACACTCAGCGCATGGCTCCAGCTATGTGTGAGCATTTCCCACTCGAGCAAATGCTGAGTGTGCTCAGGGACCCCGCGTCTCTGGGCACCAGGCAGGGGGAGAGTGGAGGAGGAAGAGGGTGGATCCTGCTTACACCAGGAGACCAAAGACAAGGGGATAGGAAAGGGGAGGGGAACCCACACTAACTTTTACTCTACTAGATCTAGAAAAATGAGCACAAATGCTTTCATCCTGAGGTCGAGCCAGCACGATCAATAATTCAGAGAAGCTCCCAGCACTGGCTGCAGACACATGCTCAGAGAGGATGACAGAACACAGATCACCGCAGGCTCACTTAACCGCTGGGAATCAGGAATCAGCGGTGCGTGTGTACCACACTGTACCCCTTTGATAGCTGTTTTTATAAAAACAGAATTAATCTGAAACAATTAATGCCAAAAGAATTGGCACTGGTGATATTAAATAAAGTCCTGATTGGGGGCACACACACACACACACACACACACACACACACACAAAATGTGAAAATAGTATATAGCTAATTAGTTTTCCACCTGGTGTGACTTTCTAGTTAAGCAGTTGTTTAATGGACTATCAACCAATTGTTTTACTCTGTTAAAAGATAGTTAAGATGATGCTACGAATATCACTGTGAATATGCAAATCAGCAGGGCTCATAGGCTACCCCTCAAAATGTGCACATATTTAGGAGATATGCGAGAGGCTAAATAGTTCTACCTAATTTACATGTTCTTTTTCCCATCCAAACTTTCTGCTACTGACAGAGCAATATAATGTTTGAGAAAAGGACAACTGAAGCAGAGGCACAAAAATTGAGCTATGCTTAACTTTTAAACACTACCCAACAGCAAATTCTTCATAAAATGTAATGTTTAAAGTAATATAACACTCAAAAGCTTATCAAAAAATATACCATTTATTAAACATAACTTGCAGATATATTAGAGTATAAATCCTGTTATATGTATGGTCTATGTTTGGCAATTGAGAATTAAAAGCTATGAACAACAGAAAAGAAATTTAGAGAAACTAACATTCATGCAAGGAAAGGTCACTGTGTGGCACTGAAATAATTAGCAAAATATACAACCTTTATCTGTCCTATTACAGAATTAAAGACATAAAACTACAAAGAGCTAAAGACAGCACCCATCAAAATCAGTCTCCTCGCACGGTGTGGTATGATGCTTCTCAAACTTGAGGTGCACACAATCTTCGGGGCTTGTTGAAATGCAGACTGATTCTGATTCGGTAGGTCTAGAGCAGGCCTGAGACCCTGCATTCCTAACACACGCCCAGCTGAAGCCACTGCTGCTTGTCCAATGGTCACGCCTTGAGTAGCAATGGTTTAAGGATAGTTGCCAAGGAGGTAAATGTGTTCACATTTCCTATCTGAATTCAATCCAGCAGAACACTATAAGATGTAACAAGATGGGGTTTCCAGTTCCAAAATGCCAACGTAGAGGCAAGCTTGCTTCTCTCTCCCAACAGAAAACCAGAAACAAATACACAGCACTGAGATCACCACCGGCAATATCCCAGAACTCACACATGAGCATGAGACAACTCCCAGAGCCACAGAGCGGTGAAAAGCCTCCAAGTAGTAAGAGAATCAGACTTCCATATCTGAGACGCCCCTACCTCCCAACCTACCTGGCACCAGGCATGTGAAAAATTCCCCCAAACTCACAATTTCGACACTGGAAAAAGTGAGATCGAGGTAGACAACCAGCCTCCCCAGCATCTTGGGTTCCCTGGCGGGAGATCTGACACCGCCTCAACCTACAGGAGCCATCAGGAGCACTCAGAGGGAGAAATATCCCTGAGGACAGCCAGGAACAAAGAGGGGAGGTGGGATCCCATCCCTAGCTCTGGAAACTCTGCTCCATAATGTAGCCAAAAGAGCTGCCAAATCAGAGTGGCTGTTCAGCAGCACCATCCTCTGGTCAATACATGCCACAGGCCCCCTAGGCATGAACCCCTAGCCAGCCTTCCCACACTGCTGGGATATTCCCAGGGGCACCTCCCCCATTTGGGATGGACAGCACTCCAATCCTTTATCAGAGCTGAGGCAAATCTGGGTTTAAAGTGCCACCTAGTGACAAAAAGGAGGCAGCAACCTGGCAGAAAAAGAAGAAATTCAACTGATGAACTACAAAGAATTTCTACGCAAACATATTCAATAAAAACCAAAACAAGCTAGAGAGAGAAGACTTCAACTAATTCTTCAGTGCAAACACGTAGGTGTACACCCACAAGAGACAACAGCAAGCAGAGAACCATGACTTCCCCAAACAAAGCAAGGAACCAGTGGCTGAGTCTAATTAGAGTTTTCTGATAAAGACTTAAACAATGCAGGCAGGGCACGGTGACTCACGCCTGTAGTCCTAGCACTCTGGGAGACCAAGGCAGGAGGATCACTTGAGCTCAGGAGTTCGAGACCAGCCTGAGCAAGAGCGAGACCCCGTCTCTACTAAAAATAGAAAAACTAGCTGGGCTTCATGGTATGCAACTGTAGTTCCAGATACTTGGGAGACTGAGGCAGGAGAATCTCTGGAGTCCAGGAGTTTGAGGTTGCTGTGAGCTAGGCTAATACCATGGTACTCTAGCCTGAGCAACAGAGCAAAATTCTGTCTCAAAAAAAAAAAAAAAGAATTAAAGAATTAAATGTTGCAGTTTTAAAGAAACTCAGTGACCCCCAAGATAGCACAGAAAGGCAATTCAGAAATTCATCAGAGAAATTTAACAAAGAAATTAAAACAATTTTAAAAATCAAACAGAAATCTCGGAGCTGAGAAATACATTTGCTAACTGAAAAATTTATTAGGGGCTCCCAACAACAGAATGGATCAAGCTGAGGAAAGACTCAATGAGGTCAAAGACAGCTACTTAAAAATGCACAGCCAGAGGAGAAAAAAAATTAAAAAGAATGAAAAGGA